GGAATCTAGGTGTAATTTAGATTTTGTCCACAAGATGGAAGCATTGTGTGTGCAACGTTTCAGACTGATTCAGTCAAGAATTACATTACTACACAATATTTTGTATCAAATCTGCCAGGAGTTTTCCCACATTATCCGAATTGGTCAATTTACACCTTAGCCAAATACATTTAAACTCAGTTTTTAACAATTCCTGACATTTAATCCTAGTAGAAATGTCCTGTCTTAGGTCAGTTAGGATCACCACTTTATTTTAAGAATGTGAAATGTCAGAATAATAGTAGAGAGAGAGTATTTATTTATGTAATCACATTCCCAGTGGGTCAGAAGTTTACATACACTCAATTAGTATTTGGTAGCATTGCCTTTAAATTTTTTAACTTGGGTCAAACGTTTCGGGTAGCCTTCCACAAGCTTCCCACAATAAGTTGGGTGAATTTTGGCCCATTCCTCCTGACAGAGCTGGTGTAACTGAGTCAGGTTTGTAGGCCTCCTTGCTCACACGCTTTTCAGTTCTGCCCACAAACTTTCTATAGGATTGAGATCAGGGCTTTGTGATGGCCACTCCAATACCTTGACTTTGTTGTCCTTAAGCCATTTTGCCACAACTTTGGAAGTATGCTTGGGGTCATTGTCCATTTGGAAAACCCATTTGCGACCAAGCTTTAACTTCCTGACTGATGTCTTGAGATGTTGCTTCAATATATCCACATAATTTTCCTTCCTCATGATGCCATCTATTTTGTGAAGTGCACCAGTCCCTTCTGTAGCAAAGCACCCTCACAGCTATGATGCTGCCACCCCCGTGGTTCACGGTTGGGATGATGTTCTTCGGCTTGCAAGCAACCCTCTTTTTCCTCCAAACATAACAATGGTCATTATGGCCAAACAGTTCTATTTTTGTTTCATCAGACCAGAGGACATTTCTCCAAAAAGCATGATCTTTGTCCCCATGTGCAGTTGCAAACCGTAGTCTGGCTTTTTAATGGCGGTTTTGGAGCAGTGGCTTCTTCCTTGCTGAGCGGCCTTTCAGGTTATGTCGATATAGGACTCGTTTTACTGTGGATATACAGTGGGGGAAAAAAGTATTTAGTCAGCCACCAATTGTGCAAGTTCTCCCACTTAAAAAGATGAGAGAGGCCTGTAATTTTCATCATAGGTACACGTCAACTATGACAGACAAAATGAGGAGAAAAAATCCAGAAAATCACATTGTAGGATTTTTAATGAATTTATTTGGAGTCAATTGGAGGTGTACCTGTTGATGTATTTCAAGGCCTACCTTCAAACTCAGTGCCTCTTTGCTTGACATCATGGGAAAATCAAAAGAAATCAGCCAAGACCTCAGAAAAAACAATGTAGACCTCCACAAGTCTGGTTCATCCTTGGGAGCAATTTCCAAACGCCTGAAGGTACCACGTTCATCTGGAATGCTTTTCCAACAGTCTTGAAGGAGTTTATACATATGCTGAGCACTTGTTGGCTGCTTTTCCTTCACTCTGCGGTCCGACTCATCCCAAACCATGCTGCCATGCTGGTTAAGTGTGCCTTGAATTCTAAATAAATCACAGACCGTGTCACCAGCAAAGAACCCCCACACTTTCACACCTCCTCCTCCATGCTTTACGGTGGGAAATACACATGTGGAGATCATCCGTTCACCCACACCACGTCTCACAAAGACACGGCGGTTAGAACCAAACATTTCCAATTGGACTTCAGACCAAAGGACACATTTCCACCGGTCTAATGTCCATTGCTATTGTTTCTTGGACCAAGCAAGTCTCTTCTTATTATTGGTGTCCTTTAGTAGTGGTTTCTTTGCAGCAATTCGACCATGAAGGACTGATTCACACAGTCTCCTCTGAACAGTTGCTGTTGAGATGTGTCTGTTACTTGAACTCTGTGAAGCATTTATTTGGGCTGCAATTTCTGAGGCTGGTAACTCTAATGAACGAATCCTCTGCAGCAGAGGTAACTCTGGGACTTCCATTCCTGTGGCGGTCCTCATGAGAGCCAGTTTCATCATAGCTCTTGATGGTTTTTGCGACTGCACTCAAAGAAACGTTCAAAGTTCGTGACATTTTCCGTATTGACTGACCTTCATGTCTTAAGTTAATGGTGGACTGTCGTTTCTCTTTGCTTATTTGAACTGTTCTTGCCATAATATGGACTTGGTATTTTACCAAATAGGGCTGTCTTCTGTATACCCCCCCTACCGTGTCACAAAACAACTGACTGGCTCAAACGCGTTAAGAAGGAAAGAAATTCCACAAATTACCTTTTAAGAAGGCATACCTGTTAATTGAAATGCATTCCAGGTGAGTATCTCATGAAGCTGGTTGAGAGAATGCCAAGCGTGTGCAAAGCTGTCATCAAAGCAAAGGGTGGCTATTTGAAGAATCTCAAATATAAAATATATTTTGATTTGTTTGACACTTTTTGGGTTACTACATGATTCCATATGTGTTATTTCATCATTTTGATGTCTTCACTATTATTCTACAATGTAAAAAAAAATGTAAAGAAAGAAAAACGCTTGAATGAGTAGGTGTTCTAAAACTTTTCACCGGTAGTGTAGCTTGAGCGTGTAAATTAGCTAGAAAGGTGTCGGCATCGAGTAATTGTCTCTGCCCCACTCCCAGTTAGGGGGAGTGATGAGCTCTACAGCAGAGTCTCACAACACAATCGCTTGTTGAAAACTGTTTTCTGCCCCTCCCAAAATATAGAATTTGTAGATAACTGGCCCTCTTTCTGGGACTCACCCACAAACAGGACCAAGCTTGGTCTACTGAGGAGTGACGGACTCCATCCATCTTATCTATCAACATAGACAGGGCTCTAACTCCTCTAGCTCCACAATGAGATAAGGTGCAGGCCAGGCAGCAGGCTGTTAGCCAGCCTGCCAGCTTAGTGGAGTCTCCAACTAGCACAGTCAGTGTAGTCAGCTCAGCTTTCCCCATTGAGACCGTGTCTGTGCCTCGATCTAGGTTGGGCAAAACTAAACATGGCGGTGGTCGCTTTAGTAATCTCAATGGAATAAAGACCTCCATTCCTGTCGTTGTTGAAAGAGATTGTGATATCTCACATCTCAAAATAGGGCTACTTGATGTTAGATCCCTCACTTCCAAGGCAGTCATAGTCAATGAACTAATCACTGATCATAATCTTGATGTGATTGGCCTGACTGAAACATGGCTCAAGCCTGATGAATTTACTGTGTTAAATGAGGCCTCTCCTCCTGGTTACACTAGTGACCATATCCCCCGCACATCCCGCAAAGGCGGAGGTGTTGCTAACATTTACGACAGCAAATTTCCTTTTACAAAAAAGAAAATGACTGTTTTTGTCCTTTGAGCTTCTAGTCATGAAATCTATACAGTCTACTCAATCACTTTTTATAGCTAGAGAAATGCTCACTATCAGGGATGTAAACAAATTTGTCCACAAAATTTGAGAGAAATAAGCAATTTGTCCGTAAGGAAAATTTCTGGGATCTTTTATTTCAGCTCATGAAACACTTTACATGTTGCATTTATACTTTTGTTCAGTGTAAATACATGTTGTTTTCAAGTTCTCGTAAGACTGTCTCAGATGGATTACATCTTCACTATCAGATGGTTCTAAAATTGAACGAGTCTGAGCATACAATAACTTGGCTTGTTAAGAAACTAAGATTTAAAGTGGCCTTTTTTTTTACAGAAACAGATCTTGTCTCTCTCTAGTCAGCAGGAAGCAGATTGTGCAGTCAATCTTTCTACCTGTTGTTGATTATGGTGATACTATTTATTAAAGTGCAGATGTCTCTACTCCTAAACCCCTGGATGCCGTTTTTCATAGCGCCCTTCATTTTATCATAGGAGACAGTTTTATTACTCATCACTGTATTCTTTACCAAAAGGTTGGCTGCACCTCTTTGAAGTCACGTAGATCACATCATTACGCTATTTTTGTTTACAAAGCCCTGCTCCACAAACCTCTGACTTACCTAACATTACTGTTAATATTTAAAATGACAAGTTATCAAACTCGTTCACAGGGTTGGTTAACTCTGGAGACTCCTTTGGTGTCTAGAGAGTTAGGTAGATCAGCCTTTGGTTTCCTTGCGCCTTATTTGTGGAATGATCTACAATGCACTTTAAAATTGGAGAAATTGGTGCCTCTAGGGCATTTCAGATGGTTGTTAGGGGACCTTTTTACTGAAAAATGTGTTTTTAATGATTGTGTTTTGCTTTTCGTGTATTGTATAATAACGTGTATTTTAATGTGTATATGAATGTGTAGTTTAATGTGTAGTTTAATGTGTTTATTGTATATTGATGTGTATTTTGTCTGTGCTATACATGGCTCATATTGAAAAGAGACCTTGGTCTCAGTTTTGAATCCCTGTTAAAATAAAGGTTAAATAAAATAAAATAGCAATGGTGGTAAACGGCAGCAATAAAACTGCATAGGCATTTGTGTAGTACCTTACAACGCCTAAAGTCAAGCGACATCATCAAGAGGTTTGGACCTCTTGGCATAATTTGCAGTTTCAGCACAGATACAGTATAATCTTTTGTGACAGAGACCATGGTTGAGCCCTCCCCACCACCCACCCCGAATTTGCTACACTGGTGTTAGAAGTGGGATGGCACCCCATTGAGAGTGTGTCCCTTGTACAAGATTCATCACCCCCTCTGAACGTGAAATAAGAAGGAACGCAAACTACTTCGAGGTCTGCCCCTCCGCTCCATAACAACAAAAACATTACTTTCGTTATCGAGTAAAATTGTATCTCCCGCCAGTTGGCCGTTATTGCTCCCGGGAAATTCCAATTCAAACTGTCTTACAGAAGAGAATGACTCATTGTTTTCGTCATGGTCATCGTTCGAAATGAAACAATCCGGTTGTACACTCCCGGTAACCGTATACTTCCCATGTTCTGAGTCCCTCCTCCCTGACGTTTTTGTCACTTTAGTAGAGGCCGCTTTGCATTTTTTTCACGCCGAGCGGAGCAAGATGGCGGCTGTACTGCCGAGGACGAGGTGTAGCAGCCGCTCGGCATGAACATTTATTTTTGAAATAAATTGATTAAAATCAAACGGAAATATTTGAACATCGGACTACAAGGGGCGTGCACTACTTCTCACTCCATTACATTAATCGACATATCATTTTCTCTATTGTGTTAAGCATTTTTTTCGGACAAAATGATCACAATGTAGTAGCTAGCTAGCCGACCACCGTAGCAAACGCCGGAGAAAGTGTAGAATGGGAGAGAAGCTAGAACTCAAGCTGAAGTCGCCGGTTGGAGCCGAAGCGGCTGGTTATCCGTGGCCATTACCAGTATACGTAAGTATTTAATCACACCAAACAATTTGCCAGCTAACGTATAACTTGGCCAAGCAAGTCAGTACTGGATGTATTAATCTGTGTAATGTAGCTAGCTAACGGTAGCTACTAGCTAAATATGCGCTTGCTAGCAAAGGTTACTTACTAAGGCAAGCCATGCAAGTCAGACCGCCCACCAGTGCACCACCACTGAGCTAGCATATAGATTATAGATAATTCATTTTCGGAGCTATCCAGAAGCGACAGATGTGAAGTGATAAAGTGGATATTGCATTACAGTATATCCATCAACTAAGTGGGATAGACACTTCATGTGGCCACACTGACTGTGAATAGGCTGGACAATAGAACGAGTCAAAATTCACCCAAGGTTGAAAAACTGCAATAGAACGTTGGCTAAACTGGAACACTAGCGCGAGCCCATAGCAAATGAATTGAATCGAACGTTCGCAGAGCCTATTTTGACTGGAATTATGCTTAGAATTCAATTTCACCTAAATGGCACCATTTAAATAAATCACTTTTCATATTACCCCTACAATCTGTTCTTAGGACGAAATTGAAGAAGAAGAAAAAACTCGTGTAGAAAGTAAACATCTGCACCTCGATGGTGTCAACTGTGCTTATGAGGAGGTAGGGAAAAAATAAAAACGTCGGACTATTTCTGGTCTAGTGATCGATGACAACCGAGCTCGCTGCCCAGACTTACATAAATACAAAGAGGAGATTCTTCTGATAAAAATGGTGTCCGACTTGAAAAAATCAAAATATACACATTGAGAGATATTTGGCCAAATAGACCGGCATGCTTCTCCATAGGAAAACAATGGGCGGAGTTCAGGGTTCCAAGGGCAAAGATTATTCTTGGCCTAGCATTTGATGACAACCGAGCTCGCTGCCCAGACTTCTATAACTACAAAGAGGAGATTCTCATGATTAAAAATGTTGTGTCCAGCCTACTGTGAACCTAAAACCAAGGCTAGCTAACGTTACTGTAGACATCGTTAGATAGGATGATTTGACAAATCACACGATAAACATTGCACACTTAGCTAACTACATCGGTTACTCGTTAGCTAATACTCCAATTTTTGGTTTTTGTTAGGTCATTAAGTTAGCTAGTTACGCTAGTTTTAACAGTTTTATTTGACTCGCGTTATAATTCTGTCTTACGCAAAACAATTTTACTGACGTTAGCTAGCTCGCTAACTTTAGCACCTGGACCTACTTACTAGCGCATACATAAAAATGGGTTAGTTACCGTTAAGTTTCTTTGCTAACTACTAACCATGTATCTATGTTAGCTAGCTAGCAAGTAATCTTTTTTTAACGTGTGGGTCAGACCCAGTGGGATGGTTTTAGCGAGACCCCCTGTGGTGTAACGTTAAAGTACTTAAGTAAAAATACTTCAAAGTACTACTTAAATAGTTTTTTGGGGTATCTGTACTTTACTATTTATATTTTTGATAACTTTTACTCCACTAACGTTACATTCCTAAAGAAAATAATGTACTTTTTACTCCATATTTTTTCCCCTGACACCCAAAAGTACTCATTACATTTTGAATGCTTAACAGGACAGGAAAATGGTCCAATTCACGCACTTCTCAAGAGAACATCCCTGCTCATCCCTACTACTTCTGATTTAGCGGACTCACTAAATACAAATGCTTCATTTGTAAATTATGTTGGAGTGTGCCCCTGACTATCCATAAATAAAATAAAAACAGAAAATTGTGCCGTCTAGTTTGCCTAATATAAGGAATTTGAAATGATTGATACTTAGGCATATTTTTGAAATTACATTAACTTTTGATACTTAAGTATATTTTAAATCAAATACTTTTAGACTTTTACTCAAGTAGTATTTTACTGGGTGACTTTCACGTTTACTTGAGTCATTTTCTGTTAAGGTATCTTCTATTAGGGTACTTTTTCCACGCCTGATAATACCAGTGATGGTGTAAACCTAAATCAGCATTTTGTTTGTGCAACAGTATCTTCTTAATCATAGAGGAATACATTAAGCATGAATGTTAGCTACATGAAGTAGCTAAGCGAGAACATTAAATGTAGCCAAATATTATAGGGTCCCCTAGGAAACACTTATCAACACTTTGGTTCCTACCCTGTCACAATAACTCCTCCCTAGCATTTTCATTCGTTGTCATGTCAAACAACACTGTATTCAAAGTGCCCACTATTATATTCTAACTATAGAATTAGAATAATCATATTTCCATGATTCCAACAGTTCACCCAAGTTTTTTGCTCTAAATCGCAAGTAACATTTCAGAAAATACTGACAATTATATTTGGTTGACGTTAAATTGAACAGTATAAAACAAAATATTTGGTTGATGTTAAATTGAACAGTATAAAACAATCAGAATGGAGAAAGACCCATTGAAATCACTTAGAATGTATGTGTTGCCACCCTAGGGTCACGCACTACTCATAAAGCAAATGTAGAACATTTATTATTCAAAAACATAAAATACCGTGAAATACCATCATTTGGCCATATCACCCAGCTCTAGGACCATGACCAAGCCTCTTTAGATTTTGCATCAACAATTTTTTTTTTTTGCATGCACAACATGCTGCTGTAATATTTTAACCTATGTGGAACTTACTAGACATATGTTGAAAATATTTGTCCTAGTTTGGGCCATAGTGCAACTCCAACAATACATTTGCTGGCAGAGCTGACTGTGTTTAGTCCTTGAATGTGCAGCATACCTTGAAGATATCCTTTAGCTGAATGCTCAAGTTTAGCAGATGGTTGTTCAAGGGGGAACAGAAATGGAAGCAGATGAAATGGTTGCGGTTTCTCTGGTGGCTTGAAGTGTGTTTCAGGTGTATTTCTCATTTTATAGTCAATTGTGGTGAGACTGTGCAAAAAAAAACTGAAACGAAATTTCTCAGAACTGAACGTTGGAGTGTTATGTCACATTGGGTAATGCTCCTTTACGTCAGAGTACAGGAACTAGGCAGTGCTGCTGCTGACGCAATCCTCTACAGTTGGACTTGGCTGACTTCACTCCATTACGCCAGAGACTGGCTTTTGCAAAGGCATTTGCAAACTGTTTAGAGCTGCTGGTGCCTCCAGTTATTCTGTTGAGAAGTTGGTGTCTTGATATCATAAATATAGACTTAAATATCATAGGCATGTCCTGCACTGAGTAAAGAGGCAGCCAGTGCTCATTATCTGTGTGTGTGGAGTCCTAGCCCTGTTTTCAATAAAGACCTCCTACACTTTTCCTCTATATGCACTTTGAGGACAGGGAGGGGCATAAAATAAGACTAGGATTAAAAAGCACTTGATTCTACTTGAGTCTGCAAATCACATGCCCTTGGGATGTTTCATTGTGGCTATTTTTGCACAGTTTGATCTATTGAAGAGGACTGTCTGACTGTAATAACTCTTGAGCAGACAACTTCATTTCCATGAGTGTTACTGTGCAATATGTCACTATTCAGATTGAGTTGTATTTTGTTTGCTCATTGTCATTAATAATGCTGCCCACTGCTCTCCACCACCAAAGATACATCACACATATTCCAATACTTCTGACTCCCGAAGTGCAACCCAAATCGCTCCATTCACCCACAGAGAAACAACGCACACTGTTCTCTTATGTTGTGCAGTGAACAACAACAGAGTTGTAATATATGCCGCCTGCATGTCTCCCCACGCCGAAGCTGTTACCACCACATGCTTGAATACTCTCTCTCACACACAGTCACCATCTGCGTATTTAAATCATCTGTAACTGCTTCCATATGAAGTACACCTCTTCTGCTGCAGAGGCTTTTGTGATTTTTTTTCTCTTGTTGCTTTAACTAAAGCCAGAATGCCTTTAAACAAGACACTATTTGATTCAATGTCTTCTTGCCTAGTTTGTGTTGTCGATAGCCTAGCTAATGGTGTTCCTTTTTTCTTCTCAAGTGTGTTTGAATTTCAACTTTGTAACAAGCCAATAACCATTCATCAATGTCTTGAGAAGCACTCATTGGACAAACGTGACCTGTGTTGTTATCAGTGAAGAAGATAAAGCTGACATTTATGTATAAGGCAGTTCCACCCGCCTCCCTCACCTACTGAAAAACATGTGGGTGAAAACGGATACTGATAAGGACAATACGTCACTGAACCATAGTCCAACAGCTATAGAAGCCTGTCACCATGTTCTAGGACAGGCAGCGCTTTGATGAAAAGGGGTTTGATGGAGTCAGTTATTTTTCTCTGTGGTAATGAGATCACTGTTGCACTCGGTTAGTTATTCCTTTATTGGCCATTAGTAATACGTAGTGGAGCGGACGTTATGCCCCGGCCGTGCGTCATGGTGAGGTGAAGAGAGTGTGAAAGAGAGGTGAGATGGAAGGAGAGAGTGGGTGGGTGCGTCAGTTCAGTCACTGTGCCCACAGCAGGGGGTCAGGAGGAGCGGAGGAGAAGAGAGCGCAGGGGTTGGCTGAGAGCTCCTCTCTCACGTGCCACACGCTCTCTTTCTCTCAGCCAGAGTTTATTTTTAGCACCAGCGTGGTTGTTGCTGCGTGCCGTCTGTGAGCGGCAGGAACACCCCCCCTCCCACCGCCTCCGCACACACACACTCACGCACGCACTGTGAAGAGGCTGATTGTATGTGCACACACTGCTGTCTGTCTGGGACTAGCGCGTTAACCCTTTACACAATTGTAGCACAGTAAGCTTCTTGGGGCCCTCCTTTTGGCTGCATTTATTTGGTGGTTGTTGTATTACTAGGCTATTCATAGCAGCATTTGCTCCTCTTGTGAAACGCTTTGCTTCCCTTGTGGCGGGAGATTTTATTTCATACATATTTCATGTGGTGCTATAATCTCAGACCTGGTATTACTGGCAGCGGCGCCATGGCGGGAGTTGTGGTGCTATTGAGCGGGAAGAGCTGAGCCTAGTAACTGGAGGCTGCTACTGTGCCAAAGCCAGTCCAGCTGAAAGCAGCTGGGCCTGGCTGGCTGGAGCTCGTTCTCTACCTTCCTCCCTCACTCCCGCCCTCCTTCCCTCTCTCCGAGCCCCTCCCAGGCCCCGCGCTGGAGCAGGACACAGAAAGTGGGTCACTGGGTCAGCAGCCAGTGTGACTGAAATCCTGCAGTTCTTCCCATGCTGCAGCAGTAGCAGCAGTGCCCTGACAAAACCCAGCTAACCTAAGTGACAGAGAGCTTCACATGCACATGGTCTCCCAGACCGCATCCAGTTAGAGAATGTTAGCTTGATAAAAGTGATACACTCACAGTGGTGTCTCCTGAATTGTTATGCTGGCAGTCATACTGAGTGTGTCACACTAACTACTATGGTTTGCACTGTGTGTGGATTATTAAGTCATTGAGTGCAGCTGGCCTTATCTGACCCGGCTGTCTGAACTCGTGTTGGTAGCTGTTAGCATATTTGTGGACATTATTCGGATATCCGTATTTAGCTTTTGGTTACTGCCAGTCTGTTATATACTGTAGTAATAAGTCTATGGTCTTTTTATTGCCTGTCAATAAATGCTTTTTGCATAAACAAATCGTACTGAGAGTTTACTCAATCTCTCTTCTCTCCTGTGTTCACTTTCTGTCTCCAGGATAAACACCATGATGCTGCTCATGAAATCATTGAGACCATTCGGTAAGTAACTACCAACTTTCTCCTATCAATCTCAAAAGCATTGTGCAGTGAGTGACTGCACTTCTTGACTGAGTTAGGCTAGATCTAAGTAAACTCACACTGTATTGACCATTGTTCTCAGGTGGGTGTGTGAGGAGATCCCAGACCTTAAACTGGCCATGGAGAACTATGTCCTCATCGACTACGACACCAAGAGGTGAGCTGAGGGTCAGACAATGAGGAACAAGGACTATGATGCTGCTCTGAAGCACAGTCTACCAGAGCACCTGTAGTCACAGTCAAATACCATAATAACATAACACTTAGACATCCAGTTTTACATTTGAAGGATAATTATTCCCAGAAGGTAATAAAGATATTAATGGCAGCGATGCTCATTTAGAAATATTTTTGTTTCCTGTGGCAGCAGCCCAAAAGAGATGAGAAGGAGTCTTGTAGAGGGGAGTAAAACTGATATGCAATTAGCATTCCTGTGTCCACGGTGCTGGACAAACTCACAAACATCAGCACAAACGAAGTCATGGGCTGTTGGTTTCCTTGTCCATGTTTCTTGTCATAAGATGTTGATAGAAGTCATTCCCAGCCATGTTGTTTCTTTATTTCTATGTGTGTTTTTGTTACAGCTTCGAGAGTATGCAGAGACTTTGTGACAAATACAACAGAGCCATCGACAGCATCCACCAGCTGGTGAGTTGGAATATCTCCAGAGGAGTTGCGTCGAAAGCTTATTTGTGCGCACAATTAATTCAAACAGACTTCTTTCTTGTAGATGTTTTGCCACCATGGGTAAAACCTAGCTCACTTGAGCCCAGCAATATGTTTATATCCTAGCTATGTAATGTACTCATTCTAAACCTCCTGTTCTGTGTGTGTCACAGTGGAAAGGCACAACACCGCCCCTGAAGCTGAACAAGCGGCCGTCCAATGGGCTGCTCAGACACATCCTGCAGCAGGTGTACAACCACTCGGTCACGGACCCCGAGAAGCTCAACAACTATGAGCCCTTCTCCCCCGAGGTGTACGGCGAGACCTCTTTCGACCTGGTGGCGCAGATCATCAACGAGATGGAGATGATGGAGGACGACACCTTTGTAGACCTCGGCAGCGGTCTGTGTTTGTTTATGACGTCAATGTTTACTTTTGAATGAGATAAGCAGTCTCAATGTGAGTCTCTGTGTTGATGTGTCTAAATGAGCAGGTTGGTGCTATTTTTGACTCGTAATCATCTGTAATTGCAGGAGTGGGACAAGTGGTGCTGCAGGTCGCCGCAGCAACAAACTGTAAACACTACTTTGGTGTGGAGAAGGCAGACATTCCAGCCACTTATGCTGAGGTAAGTTCCCACATCTAGCTTAAGGGTCTTGGTAATCTTGATGGTTGTCAGTCAACAAAGAAGGAACATATTTTAGAATTACTAATGTATGTTGTTTTCCTTTAAGTCCATGGATGAAGAATTTAAGAGATGGATGAAGTGGTATGGGAAGAAACACGGGGAGTACACGGTATGTGGTATTGTAATGACAGACGTGTCACTCAGAAATTGTCCGTGAGTCAGCGATGTGCAACTCGTGTTCCTCTTTATTTTAAAGCTGGAGAGGGGGGATTTCCTGTCTGAAGTGTGGAAGGACAGGATAGCCAACACAAGGTGCAGTACCTCTATATAGACTGGACGCTTCCACTCTCACTGAGATGTCACTTTGTATTTACACACGTCTGAACACATGAGGAGAAACATCTGCACATCTTCAAGTCTAAATCTTTTTTTACCCTCTTCCCTCTTTTCTCCTGTTCACCGTTTGTCTAGCAGTGTTATTTTTGTGAACAACTTTGCCTTTGGTCCAGAGGTGGATCACCAGCTGAAGGAGCGCTTTGCTAACATGAAGGAAGGTAGGTAGCAAATGGCCCTTTTGTTACCCAGTGTCAAGGACACCCTGCCATATTGTTGTTACAGAAAATTAAGAACCTGTGATCATTTCATTAGGTTATTGATTCAGCTGCTTTCATTAGTAAAAACAAGAGAGAGGGTAGCATGCTGTAGCTAATGGCAGCTGTGTCAACACCACACACTTGACCTCTGACCCCTCAGCTGTGTGACCTTTCCTCCACATGACCCCGTCTTTTAAAAGACAGACATGAGAGGATGATCTATGCTACCATTGATAATGTATAGCAGACACACGCATAGATCAATGGTTTGATCTGGGACTGATTATAGATCAGTGTTTGTATTGTTTAGTTTTAATCTGTGTGCCTTCATGAAAAGGTCATCTTTGTTTCTCTCTTTTAGGTGCGAAAATTGTATCGTCAAAACCTTTTGCACCTCTACATTTTAGAATCAACAGTCGAAACTTGAGTGGTAAGTCTTCATCATGGAGCATGTTCTGGGCAGACCCCGGAAACGGAACTACAGAAATGTCAACAGCCTTATGTAGATAATGTTATTAACATGAACACTGTCTGATTCAAAACTTGTAAAAGTTGCACATAAATGTTTTCTCTTTCATCAACGTTGCGATATTTAGCATCAATCACAGCGCATCTTGGGTCATTTCCCTTGCAACGTTGCTATGTTTAACCTTGGTTACTTTTGTTGCAAACTGGCGTTCGGTGTTCGTCGTTGCACCAGCTCAAATAACATGTTACCTTCACTGATCCAGATGAACCCCGAAACGAGGAAATACACTACATGACCAAAAGTATGTGGACACCTGCTCATCGAATATCTCATTCCAAAATCATGGGCATTAATATGGAGTTGGTCGCCCCTTTGCTGATTTAACAGCCTCCACTCTTCTGGGAAGGCTGTCCACTAGATGTTGGAACATTGCTGCGGGGAGTTGCTTCCATTCAGCCACGAGCATTAGTGAGGTCGGGCAATGATGTTGGGCGATTAGGCCTGGCTTGCGGTCGGTGTTCCAATTCATCCCAAAGGTGTTCGATGGGGTTGAGGTCAGGGCTCTGTGCAGGCCAGTCAAGTTCTTCCACACGATTTCGACAAACCATTTCTGTATGGACCTTGCTTTGTGCACGGGCGCATTGTCATGCTGAAACAGGAAAGGGCCTTCTCCAAACTGTTGCCACAAAGTTGGAAGCACAGAATCGTCTAGAATGTAATTGAATGCTGTAGAATTAAGATTTCTCTTCACTGGAACTAAGAGGCCTAGCCCGAACCATGAAAATAAGCCCCAGACCATTATTCCTCTGCCACCAAACTTTACAGTTGGCACTATGCATTGGGGCAGGTAGCGTTCTCCTGGCATCCGGCAATCCCAGATTCGTCCGTCTGACTGCCAGATGGTGAAGCGTGATTCTTCACTCCAGAGAACACGTTTCCACTGCTCCAGAGTCCAATGACGGCGAGCTTTACACCACTCCAGCCGACGCTGGCATTGCGCATGGTGATCTTAGGCATGTGTGCGGCTGCTCGGCCATGGAAACCCATTTCATTAAGCTCCCAACGAACAGTTCTTGTGCTGACGTTGCTTCCAGAGGCAGTTTGGAACTCAGTAGTGAGTGTTGCAACTGAGGACAGACGTTATGTACGCGCTTCAGCACTCGGCTGTCCCGTTCTGTGAGCTTGTATGGCCTACCACTTTGTGGCTGAGCCGTTGTTGCTCCTAGACGTTTCCACATCACAATAACAGCACTTAAAATTGACCGGGCCAGCTCTAACAGGGCAGAAATTTGACGAGCTGACTTGTTGGAAAGGTGGCATCCTATGAAGGTGCCACGTTGAAAGCCACTGAGCTCTTCAGTAAGGCCATTGTACTGCCAATGTTTGTCTATGGAGATTGCATGGCGGGGTGCTCGATTTTATACACCTGTCAGCAACGGGTGTGGCTGAAATAGCCGAATCCACTCATTTGAAGGGGTGTCCACATATTTTGAATGTATAGTGTATGTTTTAACCATGTATAGTGGTTTTCTCAGTTAATAGAAGATGTTTTCGCAGCTTTATTTAGCCCACAAGGGCCATCATTGCTTTTGCCTGCTAGCCAAACTACAGACCGCACAACGTTTGCTAGCTAGCACAGCTCTCAAAACAATCAAGGTCTTGACAACTAAATAAAGCACTGTTCTGGCATCTGAGAAAAATCAATTTAGCATGTTTCAACAGCTTCTTATCTTATATTATTTTGGAATTCGTCCGGTACATGTGTTGCTTTCTGCAAGCATGGACAACAGAAGTAACAATTGTAACCAAGATATAACATGGCAACCTCCATAATGTTGAGGTTTACCCAAATTACCCAAAATGTGCTATTATTTCAAAATTGTACCTTTTTTTGATTTATAATATTTAATTAATGTGCACCTTTAAGTTGTAGAACACAAAACATTATTTAGAAAATGATGGGTCACACTTTCTCTACAGATGGTCATACTATTAACAAATTATCTGTTGATAAGCAACTGCTTGTTAGGGTTAGAATAAGGGTTAAGGGTAGTACATAGTTAGTTGAAATGTTACTGATATTCTATCCTAATGTAGCAGGCATAAAATAAATGCTTGAAACTATACTGAACAAAAATATAAACGCAACATGTAAAGTGTTGATCCCAGAAATGTTCCATATGCACAAAAAGCTTATTTATTTCTAATTTTGTGTACAAATTTGTTAACATCCCTGTTAGTGAGCGTTCCTCATTTGCCAAGATAATCCACCCACCTGACGTGTGGCTGATTTTTAAACAGCATGATCATTACACAGGTGCACCTTGTGCTGGGGACAAAAGGCCATTCTAAAATGTGCAGTTTTGTCACACAATGCCACAGATGTCTGAAGTTTTTAGGGAGCGTGCAATTGTCATACATATTTACATTTTAGTCATTTAGCAGACGCTCTTATCCAGAGCGACTTACAGTTAGTGAATACATTTTTTTTTTTTATACTGCCCCCCCGTGGGAATCGAACCCACAACCCTGGCGTTGCAAACGCCATGCTCTATCAACTGAGCTACTTCCCTGCCGGCCATTCCCTCCCCTACCCTGGATGACGCTGGGCCAATTGTGCGCCGCCCATGAGTCTCCCGGTCGCGGCCGGCGGCGACAGAGCCTGGATACTGACTGCAGGCGACAGAGCCTGCATACTGACTGCAGGAATGTCCACCAGAGCTGTTGCCAGAGAATGTAATGTTCATTTCTCTACCATAACATAGTTTTAGAGAATTTGGCAGTACGTCCAGCCGGCCTTGTAACTGCAGACCACGTGTAACCACTCCAGCCCAGGACCTCCACATCCGGCTTCTTCACCTGCGGGATCATCTGAGACCAGCCACCCAGACAGCTGATGAAACTGTGGGTTTGCAAAACCAAAGAATTTCTGCACAAACTCAGAAACCGTCTTAGGGAAGCTCATCTGCGTGCTCGTCTTCCTCAACAGGTTCTTGACCTGACTGCAGTTCGGCGTTGTAACCGACTTCAGTTGGCAAATGTTCACCTTCGATGGCCACTGGCACGCTGGAGAAGTGTGCTCTTCACGATTAATCCCTGTTTCAATTGTACCGGGCAGATGGCAGACGGCGTGTATGGTGTCGTGTGGGCGAGCGGTTTGCTGATGTCAACGTTGTGAATTAAGTGCCCAATGGTGGCGGTGGGGTTATGGTATGGGCTGGCATAACCTACAGACAACAAACAAAATTGCATTTTATCAATGGCCATTTTGAATGCACAAAGATACCGTGACAAGATCCTGAGCCCATTGTCATGCCAATCATCCACCGCCATCACCTCACGTTTCAGCATAGTAATGCACGGCCCCATGTCGCAAAGATCTGTACACAATTCCTGGAAGCTGAAAATGGCCTGCATACTGACCAGACATGTCACCCATTGAGCATGTTAGGGGTGCTCTGGATCGACGTGTACAACAGCATGTTCCAGTTCCCGCCAATATCCAGCAACTTCTCACAGCCATTGAATAGGAGTTGGACAACATTCCACATGCCACAGTCAACAGCCTGATCAACTCTGTCGGGCTGCATGAGGAAAATGGTGGTCACACCAGATACTGACTGGTTTTCTGATCCTCGCGCCTACCTTTTAAAAAAAGGTATCTGTGACCAACAGATGCATATCTGTATTCCCAGTCATGTGAAATCCATAGATTAGGTCCTAATGATTGTATTTCAATTGACTGATTTCTTTATGAACTGTAACTCAGTAAAACCTTTGAAATTGTTGCATGTTGCGTTTATATTTTTGTTCAGTGTAGATCCCCTACCTACTGGTCTTGACGATAAGAAGAAAATACTGTCTGGGGAGGTTCTCTTCTGCACCGTTCAACCAATTCAGTAAATGTGGAGGAGTTAAGATGGAGTGTCGCCTTGTTAACGTCTCTTTCCATTTCCCCTGAAAGCCAGAACATCCGGATGTTGGGGACTCTGGAGAGGCTACTGATAGTCTGAAGATGTAGTGTGTCTACAGATGGACTATCCAAATAAACTGTTAACAAATGATGCTGACATTTAGCATTTCCGCTTCTACCTGGGTCACAAAACACCTTTTCTGAGAAATCTTTTGGTGGGTGGCCCTTGGGCTACATATCCTAGAGTGTATTTCAATGAACTAAAACATTTAGTTGATTTCCTTTGTTTCTCCCTTTAGACATTGGAACAATAATGAGAGTCGTTGAGCTGTCTCCATTGAGGGGTTCAGTGTCCTGGACAGGGAAGCCAGTTTCCTACTACCTGCATACGATAGACCGCACCATAGTGAGTCCTGCTTTCCTCTTTTATACTCTCAAAACATCTTCTCTGTCCAACACACAATGTTGCAATGGCAGTTTCTCCATTTAATGAAGGGTAACCTTGAACTGAATGAATGGCCCACGCTTCAAAGGTCTCCATCAGTTCATCTGTCCTTTTTCTATATGTGTATCCAATACCATGGTAAATAACACACCCACGTGATATTTTCTGAAAATGCGTACGGTAGCAGTACTCAGAACATGTTTAGTCGGACATATCCCTGCAGGAAACAACTGCAACTGCTGGTATAGCCCTGCAGTGGACAGAGGAGATGTGGTACAGCGACAGGTGATGGAGCAACCAGCATTACTACTACATGTTGTACCATGAGTGTTTTCAACTAGTTTAGAAACACTGAAAACGAGACTTAGTACTTTTTTGCAAACAGTTAGCCTAACTGCAAGCAGAAAATCTTAACCTTTCTGCCTGTCAGTTGTGGGGGGCATATTTTGCCAATAGAACCTTGAATATTCTCTCTTTGGTTATGTTTTGTCTTGATCCTTGTCTATACCGGTCCGTAACAGTCTGCTTAAAAACTTAGCCAGTTGTTTCACTTGTGCATTCAAGCACTGAGTCAAGCGCAAGTGAAACAACTGGCTAAGTTATTTTTTTCCCTATCCATTCACTTGAGGCAGTGGAAACGGTGAGGTCATCGCTGCATTGTTTCTGTATCTCCTCACTCACATGCACATGTTGGAGGGCTTATGGACAGTGTCACACAAGGTGACTGCACTAAGGAGAGAGAGAGAGAGAGAGAGAGAGGGGAGAGTGAAGTGTGCTATCTATGCCTCTGTGTCCTTGTGCAATACTTGATACCTTCTTTTCTTTTTCAGCTTGAAAACTATTTTCATAGTCTCAAAAATCCTAAACTCAGGGTAAGCTCCATTATGTTCCCTTGGTCACTATATTTTATGTTGCCCGCAGAGTACGAGTAATGACAATCTTAGTCACTTTGCAGTTGCACCCAGTTTATATGCCCTGCTGAACTATTCATATGGTAAACAACACTAAGATGTTCCTATCTGTTTTAGGAGGAGCAAGAAGCAGCTAGGCGTCGACAAGAAAAGAACAGTAAAGACAGTAAAAGCAACACCACCACCCCAACCAAGGCAAAGGAGCACAAGGTAAGTCCCTTTGTCCACGAGTGGCCTTGCTATCCCTACACCGTCTTTCACGTCTCTATGCTCAGTTCTTTTTCCCTATGAGATCACCTCTCTATCTTGGTTTGTTTTCGCTCTCACTCTGGCCTCTCCCTGTGTGTGTCTCAGGATTCCTGCGGGGAGGATGAGCAACCGGGGCTATTGGCAGCCGTGAAGGCGTCACCCAAACCACGCCGCGCCAAACTCCTCAGCAAGGGCCGCAAGCTGAGTGCTCGGAAGCGCGGGCGTCCCAAGAAGGCTGCCGTGACCGCAGCCGAACGCAAGAGCAAGAAGAGCCAGAGTGCCCTGGAGCTGCTGCACGCCAAGACACTCTCTGCAGCACCCCCTCAGGGTGAGCCACCTGCTCACTCACACACATTCCTACCGAGGGCTGTGTCCATATACCCTTGTGCATTTGTGTTTTATTTAGCCCTAAACTACACATTTTGGTCCATGTTTTTAGTTGACTTTCCGGGTTGTTTCTACAGATGCATACAGGTCACCTCAAAGTCCCTTCTACCAGCTACCTCCTAAAGTTCAGCACTATGCGTCTGGGCAACTGCTGCTGGGCCCCACTCCTCCAGGCCTACAACAGCTTCTAGGTGAGCCCCGCTACCCTGACCCCACCCTTAGATATCACACAGACCTGTCTGTCAGTCACAGCCAGCAGAGCTGAAGGCCAGTCCTGATAACCGTCCTCTCGGTCTCTCCACCCACAGACAACATTAAAGTCCAGTACCTCCAGTTCATGGCCTACATGAAGACACCTCAGTACCGCATTCACTTGCAGCAAGTCCTGGAGCAGGAGAAGGTAAATAGAATGTCCAAATCACTCAATCCATCTTGTAAAAGCTAATAATCCATTTGACAACATTATTGCCACCTCCTTAAAGAGTAATAGATGATCTCATAAATTACTGCATTCAGATTCACTCCCTTAGGCTCATACTTCCACTCTCAACCCTCCCTTTATCAGTCATGTTGAAGGAGACTAACCCCCTGGGAATGTTGCCTCTGATTTAGCTTCGACCTCTAAACCTTTCCCTTTTCTCTTGTGTTCCTCCTTCCGTCTCTCTCTCTCCTCCACCTCTGCAGCTCAAACACCGAGAGCTTTCTGGGCAGGCGGAGCAGCTGCAGACTGTGTGTCAGACCCACAAAGAGAAGATCAAAGGGCTCTTCCACACCAAACTTGATGAGGTAGGCAGACAGTGGTGAATGTCTAATGAAACCAGTTGGTAATGAGAAGCAAGTGGTGGGGAGTACTCGATCCCCAAACGTCTTACGCTATGTCTGTGTTCCCCTCAGCTGGGAGTGAAGGCCCTGACTGTGGAGGACCTACTGCAGGCCCAGAAGGAGATCTCAGCCCACAACCATCAGCTGAAGGAGCAGACCAAGCAGCTGGAGAGAGACATGGCCGAGCTGAGGGACCACAGCCTGCTCCTGGTGAGACAACCTCGCTACTCCTGGGTGCCATCTCTCTGGCCTTTTTCACATTGGGCTTGATCTGCATGTTGGGCATTCTGTCAGACATATAGGCCAGTGACCTGTAACTAACTAACTATAACGGTCTGTCTCAGTTGAAGTCTCGGTGTGAAGAGCTAAAGCTGGATTGGAGCTCTCTGTGTCTTGAGAGCCTGCTGAAGGAGAAGCAGGCCCTGCGCAGACAGATCTCCGAAAAACAGCGCCGCTGTCTCGAGCTACAGGTACACACCTCTCTGTGCACCTTTCTCTCTCTTCCCCCTATCTCTACCTACAAACTTAGAAATAGTGGAGGAATCGGTCATTACTGTTATTGTGAAGCACTTTGTGACAGGTTTTTGTTAGCAAAGTGATGTTCCTATTCCTTACCTTGTGTAACGACTCCCCCTGGTGTTGGTTCTCAGATCAGCATCGTGGAGCTGGAGAAGAGTCAGAGGCAACAGGAGCTGCTCCAGCTCAAGTCCTACAGTCCCTGTGAGGGCTCCCCCTACCGCAAGGGCCTCCCCGGCCTGGAAGGCCTCCCTCGCCTGGACCTCGACACCCCCAAACTGAGCCTGGCCGTGGCCGGCCTCAGCCCAGAGCTGTCCATCAACGGCACCGCCTCGCCCTGCTTCGACAGGGGGGGCACCAAGGGAGAGCTCCTCTCCCGCTACCTGCCCATCTCGCCTGACCACGAGATCGTGCCCCCCACCCCGGACATCCGGCACAGGCAGCTGGGTCACCCCCTCCCTGACTACACCCGCTTCTCCCCGGCCAAGATCGCCCTGCGCAGACACCTGAACCAGGACTCTAGCACTGCACACTTCAGAGGCTTGGGCTTCACTGGTCTCAGGTAGAGTCCTGCACGGGTCCGTTTTTTGGAGCCGCAACCGCCCCGCGCTGGCCACATCAATTCGGAGCCCCACCCGATATCCGACATCAGGACAGATTTTTCTCTGCAACCCGACCCACCCGCATAGAATTGTTTCGAGAATCGATCCGTGACCCGCCAAATAACATCCATTTATTTAATAGTTTTTATGACTCCAGAGTAGTAGGGTATTCCCATTCCCTGCATGAATTAATTTGTCTATTTATGTCTATTAAAAATGTTGATAAAAGGAAACCATGCGCAATGCGATGCGGCACATTGACAACTCAAATCGCTTTGAAAAAAAGCCTTCTAATTAACCTCCTTAACAAATGAAAGCCTATAGCCGACATAACAAAACAATACCTTTACATTCAATATTGTTTCAATAATCAAATAGTTTACCGTAATTGAAACTTAAATACAAATTTCCCAGAATCTAATAGGCTATTGGCTACTCAAACTTTTACCAGCCGCACAGGTGTGAACTTTATATTGCCTGCGTATGGTCTAAATGCACGAAAGCCTGAATTAATGTAATAATTAACTGAATTATTGTAAACAAATACCTGCTTGCACTTTTGCAGGCTGTGTATCCATCTACTGGGTTGTTGTCCTCCTTGTCCACACTGACTCCAAAAGCCTTCCAAAACTGGGGATTTCACTCGTGCAGCACCTGTTTCCACGATGGTGTATTCATCATAACCTTTTTATTTCTCCTGTTACGTTAGCCATTTTCCCATGAGTCAGGGAAAATAAACTTGCCAATGTATTGTTGTGTGGCGGAAGGGAACATAAGCTCTGCACGTGGACAAATTAGGAATGTTTCAGCACCACACAAGAAATGGACAGTTCCCTGCTCCACTCTCGCTGCGTGGCTGGTAGCCTAGGCTATGTCTGCCTCACCGCTCACATAGCCTAATTGAATTCGCAACACAATTCAACAGAACAAGCTCCTAAAAAATATGATCTTGATTTAAAACGTTAAACGCAATATCATTGTTCTGAACCGCGAGCCGACCCGCGGGTTGAAAGAATGTTTTCATTCCACCCGCCAGCTGATTTTTTTTGCGGGTCATCCGCGAGGAACCGTGGGTATCCGACCCGATGCAGGACTCTAGTCTCAGGTTAGTTATCAACAGACTGACATAGTAGATTGTCCTGAAAACATGGAGATTTGTTACATGTTTGTTGAGTACTGTATTCCTGACTGTGTTTTTCTATTCCTGCAGGGGGGATATGGGTGCCATCACCTCTCCATTAGGTGCTAAACTGAGCTGCCTGTCTCCCAACTCATCAGACAGTCAGCAGAACAACACACCCAGGAGTGCTGAGAGGGTAACTGTCTGTCCAAACATTTTACATTTTTACATTTTAGTCATTTAGCAGACGCTCTTATCCAGAGCGACTTACAGTTAGTGAGTGCATACATTATTGTATTTTTATATACTGGCCCCCCGTGGGAATCGAACCCACAACCCTGGCGTTGCAAACGCCATGCTCAACCAACTGAGCTACATCCCCAAACAATGACACATAGCCTACCCTGCTGACTCACACACAGTATGTACTCAGTCTGTCTGACTGGTCCTCCCTAACTGCCCTCCTGTCTCTGTCTGTGTGTGTGTGATGTCCAGGGGGGTAAGGAGAAGAGTCCAGCAGGGAGTCAGGGTGACGCCATCACCAGCCTGCCCATCAGTATCCCCCTCAGCACAGTGCACCCCAGCAAGCTCCCCGTTAGCATCCCCCTGGCCAGTGTGGTGCTGCCCAGCCGAGCAGAGAGACTGGTGGGTACATATGGCTCATATAACTCTGGCTTAGAGCAGTGGTTCCCAAACATTTTCACTCTGGACAGTTGATCTGGATATTTCTGACAAGTTATAAATGACATGATGAGGAAAACTGTTGATTCACTATCCAATTTCGAAGTTGCACCTTGTGCATTCTACTATTACAACTTTCAAGATTAGGTTGAAAGCCCGTCTGAGTTTGGGAACCACTGGCTTAGAGAATGGCTACAGGTTGATTTCCGACTGGGTAGTAAGGTCATGTGTGCTGTAATAAACCACTGTGTTGACTCAAACTCTCTGTGTTTGTTATTGTAGAGGAGCACACCAAGTCCTGTGTCCCAGACAGGCCAGACCAACGGTAAGCAGCTCCCAAAACACTATTACCTTGTATACCATATTGATCTTATCCAGTGAATCCTCAATGTGTTGAAACATATCATGACTGGCCAGTGTCCAACCCCCTCTGTCCTTCCTCAGGGTACTCCTCTAGCTCAGGGCTGATGAATGGAGGCTCTCACTCTGAGGACCAGGATGGGGCTGCCCCCTCCCCTCCCTCTCACGGTGCCCCTCCTATGGGACCAACACGAGGCCACAGCCCCCCCCTCAGCACCGGAGGGGTCCTCCAGTATGCTGACGGCCCCCCCAGAATCCTCCCTGAGGACGCGACCGAGCGGCAGGGCGAGTCTGACTCGGAGCCCCAGGACAGCGAGTCCAGACGCCGCATGTTCTTTTCTTTGTCGTCTTCCTCCTCCTCTGGGGGCGCCGCGTCTCGCCTCCACCTCTGCTCGGCCAGACAGAGCCAGCATCACCACGGGAGCCACAGTAACCACAACAATCACCACCACAACCGCTCGCCGGGCTCCCAGCATACAAACTCTCACAGTCATGGGTCTCAGGAGGAACGCAAGCGTGGGAGGAGGAAGCGCAGCTCAACGGGGGCTCAACCTGCCAGCGGCTCCCCAAAGAGGAGGTCCTTTCCTGGGCTTAGCTCCACCAATCACCCCTCTGGATCCCCACTCAACATCAACTCCATGGTGAGTCAAGCCACATTCAGGTTGCTTCCGTGTTCGTTAAAACGTAGTACACGGCTACAATGGCTTGGTTGCAGCGCAGTACTTGCTACAAGAGTTGTATGTTTGATTCCTTCTATATCTAGGCCCTACTGAATACATATTTTAACTGTTGGCTTAAGATGCACAATGCAGAAATCACTCTGCCATTTCCTGGTTTCTAGAATTCTAATAGTTTGCCTAATTTCAGTTTGTGACAAAACAAGCAAGTATAGAGTTAGACAATCATTGTACCATCTAAACCGCTGTGAAATATATTTTCCATAACCAAAAATATTGTATTTTTGAATTTTTGAAGCTGGTGTACAAAACCGAAAGTAAAAGACGCAAAAAACTAAACTTCAAAACAGGAAGCATAGAAGTAGCGACCATAGAACAGATCTACAGCTTCTTAGACTTGCTTTCAATGAGAATTACATATCTATAACTCATATTTCCATGTGAATTTTGTCAGGCCGCCCCAAAAGTGACATATTGTAGCTTTAGGGTTAGACCCCAAGTGGTGCATGTTTTGGTTTTTGCCCTAACACTACACAGCTGATTCAAATGATCAAAGCTTGATGATTAGTTCATTATTTGAATCAGCTGTGTAGTGCTAGGGCAAAAACCAAAACGTGCACCCCTTGGGGTCCCGAGGACCGAGTTAGGGAAACCCATGGTTAGGGCTAACCCTGTTTTCTGTGTTTGTCGTGTCAGGTGAACAACATTAACCAGCCTCTGGAGATTGCTGCCATCTCTTCCCCGGAGCAGTCTGGCCGTAGCCCTTGTGTTCCAGACATGGACCAGCCCCCCGTACTGAAGAGAGAACGCCCTCTGGAGATGAACGGCTCAGGACACTACTGCTCCGCACCCAGCTCCGACGACGACTCTGGCTACCCTGCTGACAGCTCCAGCTCAAGGTATAGTTAACGGTGAAGCAAAAAGCCATGTGGCTGCATTTCTACAGAAGAGTACATTTTAAGTTATATTTTCTTTCATTTGTCTTGTTTTAGAATTGAAAGGAAGATTGCCACTATTTCCTTGGAGAGCCGAGATGGACCAGGCAGATCAGGGGACAGGGAGCGTGGTAAGGAACGTCCAAAAATGCTGAAGCTGCATAATTAACATGATATCACTGTCAGCTATCTACTGTGCTTTTTCCTTCGCTCTGTTTTTGTTTTCTATCTCACTTTTTCAATATTGGGTTAACAGGAAGGAAGTCAGGAGGCAGCAGCGGTAACAGCACAGGAAGTGAGGTCTCCTCTTCATCTTCCTCCTCATCCTCCTCATCCAACAGCAAGTGGAAATCCACCTTCTCCCCCATCTCAGACCTCAAGCAGCCCCTGCCCGAGCTGAGGCAGGGGGGCTCCCCCTTCGGCACGGGGAGAGAGCCGCGGGGCCTGGGCACGGGTACGGACTCAGACTCTGATCACAAACCGCAGCAGCAGAGGAGGGGGAGTGAGGGGGCCGGGGGTGAGCCCTCAGGGTTTCAGGACATCCCCCTTAACCTTTTCCTCAGCCAGGAGTCTGGGGGACGGCCGGGGGCAGGGGCCCAGGGAGGAAGCAGCTCTGAGAGGCAGGCCATGCCCAAACAGAAGCCCCGGGGTGAGCGGGAGCTTAAGACATCCAGCAGCATGGGCAACAGCCAGAACCTCTTCATCTCTGCTGCCGCCAGCGGGGGTATCCTGAGCGGCAAGGTGGGGGGCAGCCCTGTATCTTCAGCCTCAGGGGCCTCTGTGGGACAGTACATGGGGTCCCAGTTCCCCCTTGGGGGGGCCTCTGTCCTCCAGTCCCTGTTCGGAGCCCAGTCTCCCGGAACTTCGGTGAGCGGGGCCCCGCGCCTGGTCAATGGACACTCTTCCCTGGGGAGCTTCTCCAGCGCTGGGCTGGCAGGTGGAGCAGCTGGAGGTGAGGCCCACTGACACACACACTCTAAACAGTCTCCTTCCATTCAACACCACCATTGGGTATGGGTTGGGGTAGATTGGGAGTGTTAGACAGTGGTACAGAGGAAGTCAATGGGAGAGGCCTACTGATGGACACAGGTAAGTGGGAGCCCTGTCCTGCTGCCTGTCTGAACTCCCTCGCTGCTTTGCTTTGCCATGGACTGGCTGTACAGAAGCTGAGTTGGACACCCTTGGAAAATGCCTAACATTTTGAAGAGAGCAGATCCTAAGAATTATGTACTTGGTCAATGCAATCATGGCCACGCGCATGGACAATGCCCTTCAATCTGTATACTGTGATATAGCCTACTGTTTTCTGTGTTGGTTAGCTATACTGTAAATCTCTGAAACGTTGAGAAATTACTGTGATTAGTAATTAATCAAAGAAACTTGATCAGCATTTTCTTTGGGTGTTGGTGTTACTGCTGCTGGTCTTGTGTGTAATTCAGAGACATTTCACTATGATTAGACTTGTTTTATTTGCACAAAACTATTAGTTAATTTCAGAAGAATGGCCTTTAGTCTATAACAGCTGATTCAGTCTACCCTTTTATAGTGAAATGTCTTTGTCTGCTTTCTGTGTGCCTGTCTGTAAGACTCGCTTGGCGCTATGCAAATCCTGGCTGAGTTTCTCTGTCTCTCTCTCTCTCTCTCTCGCTCGCTCTCTCTCTCTGTGTCCTCCCCCACCTCTCTGTCTCTTGCTGTTTAATCCACAGGTATTTTTCACCATGTGGTGCCCTCAGTATCCTCCCATCAGTTTGGGGCTGCGCTGCCAGCCTCAGGAGGCCTCAGCTCTCTGCTCAGTCTCTCCTCCTCCAAGCAGCACCAACACACTGCCCCCCAGTCAGGCTCCTCTTTCCTTGCCTCCATATCCTCCTCCCTCCCGCTGCCCCTCTCCCAGGCCCAGCACAGCCGCACCCAGACAGTGCTGCACACCCAACCACCCCTCACGCTCTCCCTGCCCCCTCCACCACCATTACTCAATGTCTCCTCCTCAGTCCCCTCCTCGTCCTCTGACCCCAGTCCCTCGTCTCGCTCTGAGGCCTTCCTCTCCTCCCGACTGGTCCCCTCTTCCCTCCAGCACCAGAGAGCACAGTCCTCCTCCTCCTCCGCTCTCACGGTCTCCTCCTCCTCTGCTTATGTGTCTGCTGCTGCTTCTGTCTCCCTCTCTTCTTCCTCTCGTAGCTTCACAGTGCACTACCCCCCTCACCTGCCCCCTCCAACCCAGGCCAGTAGCTCAGGAGGTGGGGTCAGCATGTGGAGGACTCTGGGCTTGCCTGCTTCCTACACGTCGTCCTCTCAGCACCCCGGCTCCCGGCCTAGATAGGGCATGGGGTGAGGGGCGGGTGGGGGATGGGGTAGAGCGGGTGTGGGTCAATCAGAGGGATAAGGGGGAGAGACTCGTAGGGAGAGACACACACAGGCAACCTGGTTTTCCTGTGCTTTCAAAGCTGATATTCAGTTCTAACAAGGTAAGTTATACTCCTCGTTCCTGCTGGGGCCACCCATATGAAAAATTTATGCATGCTTTGGAGAGAATTGGCTTTGGATAAAAGCGTCTGCTAAATGGCATTTATTATTATTATTATTATTATTGTAGGTTTGTGAATAAATCCTAAGGAAACCTGTTAAAATCTACACATGTTTTTGATGCAGAACTTTTTTAACTCTGACAAATCCACTCTTCAGGAGCAGTCTCATGTCATGCTTTTATATATGCTAATTGACAGCATTTTGTTTTGGTTGAATTTTCTCTGTTTTTCTGACCCTGGCTCTTTCCTCTCCCTGGCAGGTAACTGAAGAATATCTACCTCAACCCAACGTAACTATGCAAATGGAAAGGTGTGGACCAATGAACTCTACTATCTCACTGGTGCTCCCAAGCTTGCTAAACCGCCACTGTACTGGGACTCAACACACACACACACACACACACACACACACACACACACACACACACAGAGCTGATCACAAACACACACACACACTGCTTCGGCCACTCACGCTGACACACACTCACAGCATGGCGACCTGAGCAGAGTTGAGCGGTCACGGGGGTGTTTGTGTCATGGGATGAGGCTGAAGGTATTCACTGGGTTGTGTACATCTCATCCTTAATGAATTGGTATGCTGCCTGCTCTCAAGATTATAGTGACACATGAAACGCACTGTTTCCATGGCAGTAACTTGTATAGGTACATCACTGTCACAATGTAACGTGGTGCTAATAAGACTTATTCAATATAGATAGTTATTTGTTAAAGACTCAATTCACACATTTGACTACAGAAGACGTCGCAGTTAGCAGTGTAGTTTTACATCTCACTGATGCCATTATATTAGTAAAGGCAGACAGTGTGTATAGTGGGAGATTCGTGTGGGTCTATCCTCCCAGTAGACAGCACTCTCCTCTTTGTTCTGTCATTATCTGACCACCAGGTGCTATGTTAGACCTCATCCCCCCCCACACACCATCACACACACGCTAGACCAGTCTAACCCAGCTCTGATCAGGACTAGGGACCATGCAGCTGTGCCTCACTGCATCTCTAGCGCTCTGATACCAAACCTTGAACCCTGATCATTTGTTCAGTGAATGAAATATGATTTGACTACATTAGCTTTTGGCTACAGTATAAAACGGGGGAAGTTGTTGGTTCAAACACACTGGGTAACATATGTGTACCCTGTGACAATATCCCTGGTGCAGGGACAGCACTATAGTAAGCTGTCAGCCCAGAGTAAAAAGTGATTAGTTATATTGGTGTAATCATGGTCCGTGTCAAGTCAAAGTATCATTTGTGAATAACGAAAGTGTCTGGAAATGAAATAGTACGCCTCGAGGGTGTTGTCTCATTCACTTAAGTGCTGCCAGCTGAGCTGTGCGTCAACACGTATGGATGTGAACAGCAGAAAGACTGGAGGATATAAAGCGGAAACAGGATTCAGTTAGTGAGACAGTCCGTTTATAATCACTACTTATCGAGCCAGCGAGAGTGTTAGGGCGTAGGGACCTGCAACGCAATGTTCATTCTTCACAAGTAGGAATCTCAACTACTCTTAACCTAAGCTTCTTTGTTATGTTTTATGTCCCTTCCGAAACACTGATATGATGAAAATGCAGGTGTAATTTTGGGACTCAAATGTTGTTTGTGTTGTATTCAGGCAAGTCTCTGGAATCATATCTCACTGAGTTCACAGGGTTGGGTAGAAATGCTGTCTGTACGTGTCACCTTTTGTCCACTAACACTGTAGTGGCGCTTTCTGCAGCCACTTCAACCTGCACACACTGATATACAGTGGCTTGCGAAAGTATTCACCCCCCTTGGCATTTTTCCTATTTTGTTGCATTACAACCTGGAATTAAAATGGATTTTTGGGGGGTTTGTATCATTTGATTTACACAACATGCCTACCACTTTGAAAATGCAAAATATTTTTGATTGTGAAACAAACAAGAAATAAGACAAAAAAAACAGAACTTGAGCGTTCTGTTTTGTAGAGCCACCTTTTGCAGCAATTACAGCGGCAAGTCTCTTGGGGTATCTCTATAAGCTTGGCACATCTAGCCATTGGGATTTTTGCCCATTCTTCAAGGCAAAACTGCTCCAGCTCCTTCAAGTTGGATGGGTTCCGCTGGTGTACAGCAATCTTTAAGTCATACCACAGATTCTCAATTGGATTGAGGTCTGGGCTTTGACTAGGCCATTCCAAGACATTTAAATGTTTCCCCTTAAACCACTCAAGTGTTGCTTTAGCAGTATGCTTAGGGTCATTGTCCTGCTGGAAGGAACCTCCGTCCCAGTCTCAAATCTCTGGAAGACTGAAACAGGTTTCCCTCAAGAATTTCCCTGTATTTAGCGCCATCCATCATTCCTTCAATTCTGACCAGTTTCCCAGTCCCTGCCGATGAAAAACATCCCCACAGCATGACGCTGCCACCACCAAGCTTCACTGTGGGGATGGTGTTCTCGGGGTGATGAGAGGTGTTGGGTTTGCACCAGACATAGCGTTTTCCTTGATGGCCAAAAAGCTCAATTTTAGTCTCATCTGACCAGAGTACCTTCTTCCATATGTTTGGGGAGTCTCCCACATGCCTTTTGGCTAACACCAAACCTGTTTGTATTTTTTTTCTTTAAGCAATGTCTTTCTTCTGGCTACTCTTCCATAAAGCCCAGCTCTGTGGAGTGTACGGCTTAAAGTGGTCCTATGGACAGATACTCCAATCTCCGCTGTGGAGCTTTGCAGCTCCTTCAGGGTTATCTTTGGTCTCTTTGTTGCCTCTGATTAATGCCCTCCTTGCCTGGTCTGTGAGTTTTGGTGGGCGGCCCTCTCTTGGTAGGTTTGTTGTGGTGCCATATTCTTTCCATTTTTTAATAATGGATTTCATGGTGCTCCATGGGATGTTAAAAGTTTCTGATATTTTTTTATAAGCCTACCCTGATCTGTACTTCTCCACAACTTTGTCCCTGACCTGTTTGGAGAGCTCCTTGGTCTTCATGGTGCCGCTTGCTTGGTGGTGCCCCTTGCTTAGTGGTGTTGCAGACTCTGGGGCCTTTCAGAACAGGTGTATATATATATATATATATATATATATATATATACTGAGATCATATGACAGATCATGTGACACTTAGATTCCACACAGGTGGACTTTATTTAACTAATTATGTGACTTCTGAAGGTAATTGGTTGCACCATATCTTATTTAGAGGCTTCATAGCAAAGGGGGTGAATACATATGCACGCACCACTTTTCCGTTATTAAGTTTTTAGACGTTTTTTAAACAAGTTATTTTTTTCACTTCACCAATTTGGAGTAATTTGTATGTCCATTACATGAAATCCAAATAAAAATCAATTTAAATTACAGGTTGTAATGCAACAAAATAGGAAAAACGCCAAGGGGGATGAATACTTTTGCAAGGCACTGTACAAACATCGCTCACACACTGGGAAATGCATGAATAACAACAAAAACTACTGGGCTGTTTTCACATCTTTTGATTTCATTTTGTATATCCTTTTTGTAAACAATATTGTACTGTGAATAGGAGACATTCTCTGACTGTATAATTGTGTATAATGTAGATTATTATATTTATGCTGTCCAGTTTCTCCATTTGTAAAGTTTAGTTTTTGTTCTCCTGAAACGTGTAAAAGTGTAGAATGCAATAGGTTTGTGTGTACTTGACTCACAGTCTGAAAACAATGGTGCTACAATTTCTATAACTCTGGACTTTGCCTAATATTATTTATACAATATTAAGAACATCAATAACTGTCAATACTTGGTGCTTCTTGTACCCAGGGACATTTTAATGCAATTTTCTGGCATTCTTTCTCGTATTTAAAATTTAATTATCCAATTGAATTGTTTTAAGCCTAGTGTACAACTGTAGACACTGCACGATTTGATGAAGCTATCTTCAACATGCGGCTGACTCAGAGTTAAGAAAACTGGTAACGCTCTCATTAGATGTGATTTCACACAGTGTTTTTGGCATACTGCGAAACACCCATTTGCTTTCAGAAACTTGCAAGTTGTTCAGGACTATTTGTAAATGCATGTGACACTGTTTTGTACAGATACGTTTGTGTTAAGAATGGTGTGTAGGTGAATAAGAAATGCCTAGAATGATTTGGGGTATTATATATATATATTTGTTTTTGTTGTTTTATGTTGGTGCTGAAGTGTGACTCACATCTACAGCCTGTCAAACAGGTTGGGCTTTGACCCAAGGGAAACAGCAGTACAGAGAGTTGTTAAGCCAGGGCCTTAATAGAGTGAGTGAAACACCATGACTGTTCAGTGTCAATGAGGGCATGCCAGTCACATGGCATCGTCTCCTCTGATATACACAGACAGAAACTCAATGCTTGAACTATTATGTGGTTAACACATATAGATGATGAGAGATTTTGTTCTGGATTGTATCAGATTTACTTCATGCTTTTTAAAGAGAAACTTCTACTCTGTGAAACACCATGCCTTTCAGTCATTGTAAAAAAGGTTTTAAACTAGAAAAGAAAAGGTGCTGTTTCAACCATACAAACTTATTTCAGAAAATGTTCTGGGTGCATCCAAAAGCCAAATCTCATCTTTCACTTCAACTGCCTGTCCTGGGAGATGTCTTAAAGCCGCCTCCTTCCCATAGTATGAACATAATACATCTGTTGTAATTACAAGTTAATTGTTCCAATATAACTGGTAGTAGAATAACTAGTATGTGTTACGTGGGTTTGCAACAACCAGGCTTCCTTTTGATCTGATTGTCATTTGGCAGTCCTTACTAATTGAGGATGTGAAGCAGGACATTAAGTTATCTTAATTGTTTTGTTTGTTTAATCTGTGTCCTTAAGGAGAAATAAGACATCACAGCTTTATAGTTACAATGCTGTCCAGTAGACAACAGTGCTTTGTAACCAGGAATGAGGACAAATATTTGCTCATGTCGGACATGACCAGAGAAGCTAGTCCCCTGTTACCAGTACTGACAGGTATTTTGTAACTACTGTTGTTGATGTTTTCATTGTTTTTTTTCTTGTTTGATATAATTGCAGTTGGTATCAATGATTATTTTATTATGACATAAGATTCAGATCAAGTTGGAATACTCTTAGACAGTATGGTGCTCTCCTACACTTAAAACAAGGAAAATGCAGCTATTGATTAATACACTTCCTCTCCTGTTGTGCTAGAGGAGGGAAAATATTTAATAAACTTCAACACAAGCTCACTTGTTGACTTATTAATGTCCCATCTGAAAATATACTTTCTAGTTGGCTGGAGTGGCAATGTGTGTGGGAGAGAGAATAATATTGTTACTTCAGGTTTGAACAGTTCAATGTACCCCATTTTAAAATATGTCCCCTGAAGAAGTACACATATACGATCTCTGGCAAATTTGGATACATATTTAACACCGCAGTGCAGTATACTGCTCTATTTACTTGACAGTTAAGACTGTTTCACATAAGACTCTGAATCTTGCCAAAGGTCTTACTCAGGAACCTATCAGATATCTTGAAATGATATAGCACTTAAACTACTGTACACGTCACACTTATCTATAAACTGTGACTTTATAATTGTTTTTCCTAACTCAGGACCAGGGACCTCTCTTATATTTTGATGTAACTTGAACATTCATATTGGTGCTTTGAGTTGACAAACTTCCTCAGAGATGTATGTTTGTCTGAATTTCTCACTGTCGCACACATCCAGCCACTCCAGCAAAAGATTGCAGTTTTGTGTTTGACTAGTCTGAGGATGTCATGGAAAATCATCTTCCTACTCTCACAAATGCCTCGTCTCAGTCTCGCTCACTCCCTCTCTCTCTGAAAAGGAAATCATGTCCTTTGTTCAGTGTTGTGATCCCTACATAGGGGGAATGCTGTGTAGTTGGACTGAATTTTAACTCCGTATGTTGATCAGTAAAGCTAAGGGCGGGTTTGAGGTGCAATAACGGCAAACCTACTTTCCAAAACGCCCTGGGTTGTCATGGGAACTCTTGGTGTTGGTGCTATTATCTTAAATATGATGAATGACAAATTTACTTTTTTTTTTGCCTTTTATGATAATTATTAATAAAATTGTTTTTTATAAAGTATTTCATTTGCATCTCTGCTTATTGGTGATATTTTGCATGTTGAAACTGTGATTTTATTTATACTTTTATTCAACAAAAAAAAAAATGGCTTTGTTTATGGTGTATGATATTTTAGTTATTAGTTTGTTTTCAGTGAAGGAGTCAGACAATGATACTATGTAGGGGTGGGATGAGTACCATTTTATACTATCATTAGAGTATTTTTGGTACATTCTGTACAAAAGCTTATCATGGTTTTGACCAAAGATGGACAGTAGTGTTTTGAGAATTGTTCTTCAGTTCTGTCTGTAGTGGGGAATGCACATTACAGTCCAAAATGTCCACCATTGGGAAATAATTCAACATTCAATGTCCTCTTCTATGAATACTCTCTGAAATAGTGTTTTGCAATGTTACGTGCATGTTTTCAAGCCATTAGAAATGATAAACAATGATTGTAATTTTTAGTGGATAATTTGTGAATCCTTGCAGGAATTAGTAAAGGAACCTTGACTTTATCACTTGGCACTGTTGTCCACCAAGCAGGACAGACTGAACTGAACGACCTTGATCGTCTGCAAAACAAGGCTGCAGCTGTTGGATTTCTCCATGAAACCAGGGCCGTGAGGCACTTCTCAACCCGAGAGGTCTCAACAGCAGCATCTCATAGCCTGTCCATAGATCCTTAAATCCGTCAAGAGCTCTTATTTAGCCGACACTTCTTCTGTATCTGTCTTATCTATCTGGCATGCAGCATATCCATACTCCACCAACTGTCTTTAGTCCAATAACTGCTAAGAGGACCTTCTAAAGTCAATGTGTCGGGAATCAATCGTCAATTTGCAATCGCATCCTTAGAATTGCATCACAAATGGCTACTTTTATGAGGAACATTCCAATAAGTGTTTGTGTGGAAGAAAAAAGACAATGTAGAACAGGGTTCCCCAACTGGTGGGCCCAATTTGGCGAGCATGTGATTTCATTTGGCCCCCCAAGTTTCATAAGCAATTTATTTTATTGATTATTTTGGAAATCTGTAAAGTATTCCCACGGAAAGTTTGAAATTATGTTTTAGTCAAATATATCTGTTTGGGCTTCTGTGGGTAATTTGCAGTCAAGTTATTTGTAATTAGTGTATGTTCCGGCCCCCTGACCATCCGCTCAACAAAAAAAATTGTCTCGCTGCTGATTGTAGTCGATTATCCCTGATGTAGAAGACTGTATATAACAAATGGCAAGAGACAGAAGCAATAATATAAGTGTTGATATACTGTAGTAGACCAGACGTTACCTATGAAAGGCCTTTATAGAAATGTCATTACATGCATGTTTTTTCTGTCTCCTTCAAGCATCCTCCCTTCCTTTTTGAGGTGCTTCAATCACCAGTATTTTCTCACCCACAGGGAGGGCAGGTGTCTGTCTGCCACACACAAAACCCTCCGTTGTCTGTCTTGCGCTTCCTTTCCCTAGCCTTATCTCAACCCACCGTAGTATTCACAGCATTCACTGTTCCTCCACATCTTACAACATAGGATAGGATAGTTTCCCAAGGACACATCACATAGTATGAGCTGCGTATTTGGCAGCCTGTCCCCCTTAGCTGAGAGAGGGGCGGTGTACTACATAAAACCCATCTCCCTCGCTGACCTGACCCAAAACAAGGATTCGATCCAGACGTGACTGGACAGACCGGGTCGCCATGAGACTGTGGTGCATATTCTGCTTGATACTGCTGCTGCCCAGCACTGTGGTCACTTTGCCACACCAGGGCACACTGAGTGACAGCCTGCTTGGCCGGAGTCAGGAGGACCCCACGCCAGACCACCCAGGAACAGGGCCAGGTCAGTCACACTATTCACCATCCCAATTACACTGTCAGTACTGCTGTTTGTAACTTGTTGTATTGATATGAATGTGTATGCCTGGGACCTGGCCATAGCTTTCACCAAACATGGATGCAATCTATTCATTAGCATTTGCAAGAAAATATTGTATGCATTGTAATGCACAGTGCTTACTTTATGCTCTATTTGTTAATTACATTAACTAACTCCTTACTAGAATTTTCTGTAACTTTATTTTGCAAATTCTGAATGATGCAATATAATCTCTGAATTAGGTCATCTTCTTTCGGCCATCAAATTATAAATTAGTCAAAAAATGGTTATGGGAATACAGCCTTCTGTGACTACATTTAGTCTGTTCTTTCATCCAAGGAGACAACAGTTCAATGGAGGTTGGAAAAGGTTTGGGAGAGAATGCCTTAACAGTGAATGGGACCATAAACTCCAATCCCACCGCTCCTCATCACCTACCTGGGGACACTCCATGTTTCGGAAGGACACTGTCTCATGGAGAGGTTATTGAGGATATGTTTTCAGCACTTCTTGAAGGTTGGGGCCAGGAAAGCGAGCTGAGAAAGGAGGATTTGACTCGGTTTGGCGTTTGCTCACACTCTGATGGTGCTCCAATACCTGCCTTATCCACACTAGCTGAAGAAGCCAACAAAGAGAAACATGGGCTACATGTTTGGCACCCAACCAAAGGTACACTTTTGTCTCTTTCCAGATTTCAGCTTTGAAAGTATGGCGCAGATATGGATCTGATTCTGAATATACTGAAATGGGATGTTATGTCTTGTCTATCAGAGCTCATGGAGGGTGAAGTGGAGGGAGGGGGTCTGGTGTTGACCCTCCACCTCCCCCGGCCTCCCCTCTCCAAGATCAAGCCCATACTGCTCCTTGCCTTTAGAAACCCCAGAACAGGAGCGCTCGGTGCCATCACTTTCACCAGTCACTCTCTGCAGCCTTACAAACAGGTTTGAACTCATTACCTGCTCAAGAACAACATTCCTGAACGTCTTACTTGTCTTTCACTTTTTACAAGTCTTGTCTTACCATGATGTTTATAGACCATTAAAGGAAAACTCTACTCAAAAACGGTCTTTTGGTATTTTTTTCATTAGTCCACTGTTGATACAGTCCCAACCTGTTTTGTATGTCAGCAGTCAAGTTTTCAAGATATTGTGCTTTCAAGAAGCAAAGTGTCACCGGCCACATCGTCATCATGATGTATTTCTCATCATGATAATGTGGCTGGTGACACTTTGCTTCTTTGGTTTTTGATGTTCTGCTATTATCTGACTCCCACCTTTTCCCACTTCTCTCAGACAGTATGTATTTCAGAGGGAACCCAGTTCCTCATCCTAACAGGAAAGCAATCAGAGGGCGAAAGTCACCTGAAATGGAGATTCAATGTTGACACAAAAACACCAGATACAGGTAAGAACATCTTGTACAGCTTATCGTGTTCAAGTTAATATGCTTTCCTTCCATCAGCATGTATCAAGCTTATCCACCTTTCGCAGGACAAAAGCTGTCTGAGCTACGAGGTATCCTGATTGGTGAAGGAACAAGAAGTGATGTCAGTGTCATTCCCCTGGTGCTTTTCTCAATGGATAGAGGAACTGATGAAAGGTCAGTTAGCTTTGTCTTTCTTCAAATGCGGCATCTATTACTGTTCTTTTTCTTTAAATGATTGAAGCCATAGAGATTCTTAAATGAGTGTAATTGTCTTCCTCAGAGTGACAGAAAATCAGAGTCCCTCCCCTGCGCCCTCTGGGACCTACACTTTTCTGTGTGAGCTGCAGAAGTTCCTCAGTGACATCCTGCCACCACCGACGCAGTCACAACTATGGGCTGCTTCGGTCCCGCTGTACTCTCTGCACTCTCTTCCCCCCCTGTCCCTTGGGGTGTCGTCCAGTGAGACCCTCCTTGCCAGGCTGCTCAACTCCTCAGCTCCCACCCTGTTCTCCTTCCCCACACAGGGCTCTGTGCTCCAGGGGCATCAAGGGGAGCTGTCCCTGCAGCCTGCCCTACTGGAGGTGCTCAGGCAGAGACTGGAGGAGGTTGTGGTCCAGATGAGGGCAGAGGAGGTGGGCAGAGCAGGGATGGACAGACTGAGGAGACTCCAGGAACTCAGTGTCCTTCCCAAAGAGGGCGAGGAACCACCAGCAGGTGAGCAGGCCTCAATGTAAATTCATGATAAATGTCTGTGCATTAAGTTAATTGTTAAGTCATTTAAACCTTTTTTTCTTTCACTCATGTAGGTGTTGGGAGTCCCAGTGAGATGCAGTACCGAGCCCTGCTTCTGCTGAAGGCCCTGCAGACCGTGGTGGGAGCCTGGGATGTGGAGAGGGGGCAGCGGGCCACCAGAGCAGGCCAGGAGGGCCCAGGGAACGGGCACCTTTGTCGGCTGCACACACTCACTGTGTCCCTGGAGAAATACCTGCTGTCTCCTCCTGAGGCCACCATCTACAACTGCCAGGGAGTCTGCAGCTTTCCCCTGACCAACGGTAATAACCATGCCTTCCTGCTTAACAGCCAGGTCCAGAGTGGCCTGGCCCTGGAGCGCACACCCTGCTGTGTGCCTGTGGACTATGAGGACCTCAAGGTGGTGGAGTTGGATGAGCATGGAACCAAGATCTCCTTCAAACCAGACATGGTGGCCAAGGAGTGTGGATGCCGCTGACTCCTCCATGTGGTTCAGTGATTGGTATTAAAGGGCACCTGCATTGATGCACTATTACTCAGAAAAAGTCAAGTAGAATTGCATGTTTTAGCTCATGGAGTGCATTTATTTTGTTTATTGTAAATACATCATCACATATAGTTCTCCACATATGCTCAATTATGTTCTGCCTAATATTAGCTGATTTAATACACTTTTTGTCACTCATCTATATAAATAGAAAACTCATTGGCATGGTGCACATATTGGATCTTTCAAATACAATTTGTTCATTATCAATTTGCACCACATGATCATATTGAAGGCTAAAATAATATATTGATCATCAAATACGAGATAGGAACCAGCTAATCTTATTAATTTGTATTGATTTCTGTATGCCCTTTAAATATGAAAAACATTTATGCAAACAGATTATGCATGATCAGATAAGACTGAAGATAAGACTGTATGGTGCATTTAAGATCATTGTGATGTACTGTATGTTTAGTAAATCTTTTTTTTTACTGTAGTAAAATTTGTACAACTACAATATATCCTTATATTTTGATATAATAAACACATACTGACATCTTTGATTATTCCTTCAGAAAATGTCTGCCTATTTTGTTTTACTATCCTCCTTCAACCTCTTTCCCCTCCTTTACCATTCTCCATAATGTTATCTCTATCATTCCTTTAACAGCCCTTTGTCAGACACATCTCTATTTCTGATCCTCAAGATTCCCCCTCTTCTCTTTGGATTTCCTTTTCTTCCATCGTCTGATCCCCAACTCAGCAAGCTGTCCCACAGAGAGGCTGCAGGCTGCAGGGAGAGAACAGGAAACACCCAGGGTCACAACATAAGCTTCCAAAGCCGAGCACTTAATTATTTGTTATTCACTGTGTTAGTTATAAGAGGGACATGTGAAGAAAATAAGCTATAAGGCCCAGTACCTGAGCTATGCTGTCTGGTTGCAGACCGGTGCCTCCAAGTACCATCTGAGTAAGATCATTCTCTAGAAATACATCAAGAGCACCTAAACCATAACAGATAGTGCATGAGCTAGTCTGTGTGCATTGAGGTTATGAGAAATTGACAAATGTTTCACAATGTTTCAACACTCACCATGTATTTCATTCACACCTGAGCTCACAAGCACAATGATGATGGCCAACACAATGCAACGGTTCAGAGTAATGCTTTTCCATGGGTTCTCAACCTCACTCAAACTTTGGATGGACAAAATGCGTTCATATGACACTAGAAGTAAACAGAGAGAGTAGTAAGTCAACATGGGACAAGAAATACTATTACTGAATGTAGAAATGGAAATATATTGGAAAATGATTGTATTACTGCTGAGGCGCTCAGATGATAATGCTCTGGATCTGTTGCGTCCTGTAAAGTTAGGTAATATTGAGGTTTTGCTACTGTGCGGTATTTAAAGAGGAAACTAACACATTGTGTATTCAACATCCCAGTGAAGTTTATGACTAAATCTCTCATTTTTAACAGAAAATGAACTCTAAAACCACATAGCTACAAGGATAGAGCAGAGTACACACATGCATTGGCTTACATTGCATGTTTATGCTGAGGCAGTGGACATGTTCAGTCCGGTTTAAAGCACATGAGGCATAGACCAATATAACATTGCTAGAAATAGACATCTGGCTGTATCAACAGAGGAAGAGTAATATACAGATTGTCAAATAAATTATTCCCAAACTAGATTATAATGCAAACCTTTAAAAACCCATAGATGACAGAATGAGTCTTACCTGGGTTGACCTTCGAAGGCAATTGATTTCTGTTCGCTGGTGTTGGAGAGTGTCTTATAGCCTGCCATGGTCCCTGACAGGCAGGCACAGCTGAGCGCTTTTGACAAAAATAAAAATACATCACTGGAGGGATGTTTATACTGTTGATTGCTGCTACAGACTATAGCAGCTATACACCCTGTATGCTATGGCCTGGCCACCCTCATAAACACCATACCATTTTGATATGTTGCCTATCTTTGAAGTGTGTCATTGTAGGCTATGGTGAGGTGAAATAGGCAGTATAGCTACAGTTTGTATGCCAGAGATGTGATAACTATGTTTTCATTACTGGACATTACATGTCGCTTGCATGAATTATCAGACTGGGTATTTTGTAATCAAACCATCATTACAATGACAAAAATAGTACAAAATACAATAAATGTAAGTATCTGACGATAGACACAAGGAAGCACATTATATGTGCAGAACAACAATATGTTGATGGCTGTAGATTTGTGATTTGTCTGTTAGCATGGAAATAACCGTGCCTGAAATTTCAGCCTGTTTTGGTGGGATGGAATTTTGGCCTGCCGTGTGACATCACCAGGCGGTAAATTAGTTAAAGGTAGACTCAGCGAAATGACGATGCCATGAGTACCGCAGATATTGAGATGAGATAGATGCAAGACTTCGCTCAAACACAGTCACACACAGTATCTGCTTATGCGCATGGGTTCACTTCACGCTATTAGAGCATGGTAGCTACGGGACCAAAACAGCGGAGAAGTTGAGCCTCGCGCTTCAACACTCTCTTAGTAGTTGCGGAAATTGACCCACCATGCTGTTTACTTTCTGCATCTATGTCATATCGCTGAGTCTACCTTTAATATAGCCTAGGCAACCGGTAGTGCATGGGTGCTAGATCTGTCTAGGCTTGATGTGCATTACCGTAGACTGGCTTGTACATAAAGCATCCTCCATTCAGGCTGAAAAGGCAAAACATGACATAATACAGAACATTAATAGACAAGAACAGCTCAAGGACAGAACTACATCAAACATTTTTTAAAGGCACATGTAGCCTACATATCAATACATACACACAAACTATCTAGGTCAAATAGGGGAGAGTCGTTGTGCCGTGAGGTGTTGCTTTATCTGTTTTTTTTAACCAGATTTGCTGTTCATTTGAGCAATATGAGATGGAACGGAATTACATGCAATAATGGCTCTACATAATACTGTACGCTTTCTTGAATTTGTTCTGGATTTGGGGACTGTGAAAAGACCCCTGGTGGCATGTCTGGTGGGGTAAGTGTGTGTGTCAGAGCTGTGTGTAAGTTTACTATGCAAACAATTTGGTATTTTCAACACAATGTTTGTTATAAAAAGAAGAAGTGATGCAGTCAGTCTCTCCTCAACTCTTAGCCAAGAGAGACTAGCATGCATAGTATTTATATCAGCCCTCTGATTTACAATGAAGAGCAAGACGTGGCGCACTGTTCTGGGCCAGCTGCAGCTTAACTAGGTCTTTCCTTGCAGCACTCGACCACACGACTGGACAATAATCAAGAAGACAAAACTAGAGCCTGCAGGACTTGCTTTTTGGAGTGTGGTGTCAAAAAATCAGAGCGTCTCTTTAGTACGGACAGACCTCTCCCCATCTTTACAACCATTTAATCTATATGTTTTGACCATGACTATGTTTTGACCATGACAGTTTACAATCTAAGGTAACACCAAGTAATTTAGTCTCCTCAACTTGTTCAACAGCCACACCATTTATTACCAGATTCAGCTGAGGTCTATAACTTAGGGAATGATTTGTACCAAATACAATGCTCTTAGTTTTAGAGATGTATTACTGGCCACACATTACAAAACAGACTGCAACTCTTTGTTAAGGGTTTCGGTGACTTAATTAGCTGTGGTTGCTGATGCGTATATGGTTGAATCATCAGCATACATGGACACACATGCTTTGTTTAATGCCAGTGGCAGGTCATTGGTAAAAAATAGAAAAGAGTAGAGAGCTACACTACACTTTACATGTTTGACATTAGAGAAGTTTCCATTCAAGAAAACCCTTAGAGTTCTATTAGATACAGTGGGGGAAAAAAGTATTTAGTCAGCCACCAATTGTGCAAGTTCTCCCACTTAAAAAGATGAGAGAGGCCTGTAATTTTCATCATAGGTACACGTCAACTATGACAGACAAAATGAGATTTTTTTTCCCAGAAAATCACATTGTAGGATTTTTAATGAATTTATTTGCAAATTATGGTGGAAAATAAGTATTTGGTCAATAACAAAAGTTTCTCAATACTTTGTTATATACCCTTTGTTGGCAATGACACAGGTCAAACGTTTTCTGTAAGTCTTCACAAGGTTTTCACACACTGTTGCTGGTATTTTGGCCCATTCCTCCATGCAGATCTCCTCTAGAGCAGTGATGTTTTGGGACTGTCGCTGGGCAACACAGACTTTATACTCCCTCCAAAGATTTTCTATGGGGTTGAGATCTGGAGACTGGCTAGGCCACTCCAGGACCTTGAAATGCTTCTTACGAAGCCACTCCTTCGTTGCCCGGGCGGTGTGTTTGGGATCATTGTCATGCTGAAAGACCCAGCCATATTTCATCTTCAATGCCCTTGCTGATGGAAGGAGGTTTTCACTCAAAATCTCACGATACATGGCCCCATTCATTCTTTCCTTTACACGGATCAGTCGTCCTGGTCCCTTTGCAGAAAAACAGCCCCAAAGCATGATGTTTCCACCCCCATGATTCACAGTAGGTATGGTGTTCTTTGGATGCAACTCAGCATTCTTTGTCCTCCAAACACGACGAGTTGAGTTTTTACCAAAAAAGTTATATTTTGGTTTCATCTGACCATATGACATTCTCCCAATCCTCTTCTGGATCATCCAAATGCACTCTAGCAAACTTCAGACGGGCCTGGACATGTACTGGCTTAAGCAGGGGGACACGTCTTGCACTACAGGATTTGAGTCCCTGGCGGCGTAGTGTGTTACTGATGGTAGGCTTTGTTACTTTGGTCCCAGCTCTCTGCAGGTCATTCACTAGGTCCCCCCGTGTGGTTCTGGGATTTTTGCTCACCGTTCTTGTGATCATTTTGACCCCACGGGATGAGATCTTGCGTGGCGCCCCAGATCGAGGGAGATTATCAGTGGTCTTGTATGTCTTCCATTTCCTAATAATTGCTCCCACAGTTGATTTCTTCAAACCAAGCTGCTTACCTATTGCAGATTCAGTCTTCCCAGCCTGGTGCAGGTCTACAATTTTGTTTCTGGTGTCCTTTGACAGCTCTTTGGTCTTGGCCATAGTGGAGTTTGGAGTGTGACTGTTTGAGGTTGTGGACAGGTGTCTTTTATACTGATAACAAGTTCAAACAGGTGCCATTAATACAGGTAACGAGTGGAGGACAGAGGAGCCTCTTAAAGAAGAAGTTACAGGTCTGTGAGAGCCAGAAATCTTGCTTGTTTGTAGGTGACCAAATACTTATTTTCCACCATAATTTGCAAATAAATTCATTAAAAATCCTACAATGTGATTTTCTGGATTTTTTTTTCTCAATTTGTCTGTCATAGTTGACGTGTACCTATGATGAAAATTACAGGCCTCTCTCATCTTTTTAAGTGGGAGAACTTGCACAATTGGTGGCTGACTAAATACTTTTTTCCCCCACTGTATATAGCTCTGAATCCACGATATGGCAGAGGTTGAAAAGCCATAACACATTTGTTTACAGAGAAATAGCATTGTATTTGGTCAAACACCATTTTTTCCAACAGTTTGCTAAGAGCTGGCAGCAAGCTGATAGGTCTGCTGTTAGAACCAGTAAAGGCCGCTTTACCACTCTTGGGTAACGGAATTACTTTGGCTTCCCTCCAGGCCTGAGGACAAAGACTTTCCTCTAGGCTCAGATTAAAGATATGACAGATAGGAGTAGCTATAGAGTCAGCTACCATCCTCAGTAGCTTTCCATCTAAGTTGTCAATGCCAGGAGGTTTGTCATTATTGATCGATAACAATAACTTTTCCACCTCTCCAACACTAACTTTACAAAATTCTAACTTTCAATGCTTTTCTTTCATTCTTTCTTTTTTTTATGCATGAATACGATGGCTCACTGTACGTTGTTGGCATTTCCTGCCTACGTTTGCCCACTTTGTCAATGAAGTAATCATTAAAATAATTGGCAACATCAAATGGGGCGGCAGGTAGCTTAGTGGGTAAGATCGTTGTGCCAGTAACCGAAAGGTCGCTGGTTCTAATCCCCGAGCCGACTAGGTGAAAAATCTGTCTGTGCCCTTAAGCAAGGCACTTAACCCTAATTGCTCCTGTAAGTCGCTCGTCTGCTAAATGACTAAAAAAAAAGGAAAAAAGGTTTTGTGATGAATAAGACATCTGATTTGATGAAAGATGGAGTTGAATTAGTCTTTCTGCCCATAATTTCATTTAAAGTACTCAAGTTTTTTTCCATCATTCTTTATAGCATTGATCTTGGCTTCATCCTCTTCTTCTTGTTGAGTTTAGCCACATAATTTCTCACCTGAACCAGATTACAGGCACTGGTTACAGTGAGAAGCTAGCTCTTGAGCAGACAGCTTGATGAAAAGCAGTCAATATTCAGGTCCCCAAAAAAGTAGACCTCTCTGTTTACATCACATACACTATCAAGCATTTCACACATATTATTTAGATACTGACTGTTAGCACTTGGTGGCCTACAGCAACACCCCAAATGTAAAGTCTTTAGATGTGCCAAGTGAACCTGCAATCACAACATTTCAATAACACTTGACATAAGATTTAATCGAAGCATTACAGGTTATGGCTCTGAATATATACAGCAACACCTCCCCCATAAGCATTTATGTCTCTTCTATAGATGTTATGTCCTTGTATTGCTACTGCTGTATCATCAAATGAATTATCAAAGTGAGTCTCAGAAATGGCTAATATATTAATGTTATCTGATGTTATTTCTAAGGCTTAAAGGCTACATACAGTGCCTTCGGAAAGTATTCAGACCCCTTGACTTTTTCAACATTTTGTTACGTTACATTTTACATTTACATTTTAGTCATTTA